AAAAAGCTGAGGGTTAGACTAGGTTTCTTTTTCAGAAACAAGTCCTGTTTCTCGCTTGAGGCCAGGAAAAGGCTAGTCACTGTGAACTTTTTACCTGTGATGGTGATTTGTTGTATATGAATGCACCTGCCTATTGCCTGAACAAGTTATATGCCGCTTATCACAGCGCACTGAGATTTGTCACAAATTGTAAAGCACTTACTCATCACTGTACCCTGTATGCCAAGGCAGGTTTGCCTTCACTAACTGTACGGAGGCTCAGTCATTGGTACACATTTATTTATAAAGCTATGTTGGGTAAACTCCCGTATTATATCTGTTCACTGATCACACAGAGAGTTGCAAGCAGCTATTGTCTGAGATCGCATGATGTAGTATTGTTAGATGTGCCAAGAGCAAGGACTGTCTTAGGTAAGGCAGCTTTTATGTGCGCAGCTCCACTTTCTTGGAACAATCTTCAGCAAGAATTGAAACTGAGCAATCTCATTCATCTGCATGTTTTTAAAGCTAGGCTAAATGAAATGCTTGTTGATACTATGGGCACTTGTAAATGTCTATAACTATGTAAATGTATCCTGTAAATATAATGTATGATGTCCTTTATTGTTTTATGTTTCATGTGGATATGTTGCAGGTCTCCCTTGAAAAAGAGATCTCTCAATGGGATCAATCTCGTTAAATAAAGGTTTGAAATGAAATGAAATCAATTCAAACTCCAGACCCACAGCACATTGTAGCACACTCAATATACTTTTCTAGTTTTATTGAGTTTTTCTTTGCTTTCCTTAACAAGGTTTCTGTTGTGTAAAAAGGGTGTTGGAAAGCACACTGAACTGTAAAGCTCAGTGTGATCACAGGCAGGAGACTCTGAATAAAGGTTGTTAGTATCCAGTGGTGTGATGTATTGAAGTACATTTACTCAAGTATTGTTTATGACTTTGGGGTATTTGTACTTTACTTGAGTATTTTTGTTACACTACTTTACTCCACTACATTTTGTAAGCAAAATATTTTACTTTTTAGTTCTCTACATTTATCGGACAAAAATTGTTACTAGTTACTTTACAGATGCAGATTATTGGCTAATAGAAATATGGCTCCACCTTTACCAGCTATGATGAACAAATGAATGCCTCAATAATCATGACCATTTAATATAGTATATGATTCTGAATGGAGCTACAAAGCACAAGGAGTACGTGTACTTGTGTTACTTTAAATATATTTTGATGCCGATACTTTTATGTACATTTACTTGAATAAGATTTTAAATGCAGGACTTTTTACTTGCAACAGAGTACACTGTCGTAGTTCTACTTCAAGTTAAGTCAAATATCTGAGTACTCCTTCTACCTCTGTTGATATCAGCGTAACATATGGCATAGACTGAGGAGGTGATTGTTTGTGAGGGAAATCATTACAACAAATGGTTGAATTCTGCACAATTCAGTGTTTTTTTCCAATTCTTTATTTGAGATGTTGTGATGTACACCAGGTGCACATGTGTTACCCGGTGCAGCTTTAAAACAGAGACCAGCAGTACAACAACCAACAGAGTTAGAGGTCAGGGTCCCACTTTGCAGCCGGATGCAAAAGGATTGAATGTGTTTCTGTGGCACAAATCCACATGAGGCGTCTCCTTCCACTCTGACAGCGCCCCCTGCTGCGCTCCAACACACTCGCACACCCTGTGGGCTGAATCAGAGCTATGTTACAACAACACATGCTAACACGTGCAGAATAAAACCAGCACCTGAGAGGAAGACAAACAACGATACGGTACGGCCGTAAGGTTTGTAAATGTTTGTAGCTACTGCTCTCTAGTGGTAGATGAGTCTGTTAACCTGTTGCCCTCGGGTCAAATCTGACCTGTTTCTTAATATTTCTGTATGATGAGAGGTTTATGATCAAACTTTTTATTTAATTATGTGTTTTATTCAAATGTATCATCTGGTGTGATGCGATTCATTTGTTTCTAACGGTTTTGAAACAGAATCTTTACTAAACTTTGATGTATACGATAATGCTGTGACAATCGATCAAGGTATGTTCCTGTGATCTTAACTAGGTAAAAATAATTCCAATTGTTGGCCTTTTGTTAACTCCAAATTGGGTTAAACATTTTTATTTTCTTTGACCATAAATGCAAAAAAGAAATAATTAAAACTATTAGTTATACTATATGCTGTAAAAACAATCAAACAAAGAACACAAATGCACAGTTAAGGGGAAGACAACAATAAGTTAAGACTGAATAAACCAGGGGGAGCAGACAACACGCTTAACAGGATACTTGATGTGATACTTGTTTGAAGCGGGGTTGTTTAACTTGTCCATAGTCACCCCCAGTTTCCACCGGGTCCGTCTGCGCCGCGCTGCGCTGCGTTACGGCTGCGCTGCGTTACGGCTGCGCTGCGTTACGGCTGCGCCACGGCGGCGCCACGGCGGTCGTAAGCATCGCGGCCACTCTAGTCAATGGGTGCTATTCCATCACACGCGTCGCGTTACGGCTCAGACGCGTCCCAGAAGCGGCTCGGCGCAGCGCTTCTCTAAAATTAGGATGAATCCTATTTTTGCCACGGCGCAGCCCTAACGTAGGCCCATTCCCAAACCGCCCCCTACACCCTACCCCTCCGTTTGCGCGTTCACGCGGAGGGTCCGCCATATTGAGGGCTGTTCCAAACCAACGAGTGTGGAGGGGGAGTGGGTTATGGCTAGAAAATGATCCGTCTAGTGTAAATATGACGTCACGTTCTCGTTGTAACTCTCGTTGTAATCTAAACCAGACACAATAGACATTAAATTACTTGTGAAACCGACCACGAGCCCACGACAAACTAACCAGCTCTCCTGAGGGATCGATTGGTGAGCACAGTCACCAGACTCCCTCAAAACACCACCTCCAACACCAAATCCCACGAAAGACCACACGACCCTACAACGTTTGGTCTGATAGGACGCGCTGATAGTCATCATAGCGACACTTGTGGTGAAAAGGAAGTACAACATTAAACAATATAGGTAGAAACAGAGACGTATAGTACGAAACAGCCGGTTGCCTGCCTCGATCGATCGTTTGTGTTTGGGTCAGGCGGTTTGCCTTCACGTAACGTAGCTTCCCTCCTCAAGTCCTACATCTCGCCTTTGCCGAGTTATTGAACCTAATTCAGACTTACAAAAGAGATTAATTATAACGACGACGTAATTACACATACAACGTAGTACAATGACGACTTCTACACAAAGGC